AGACTGACAGAAGGCTATAGGTTCGACTCAGAGAGAGAGGAAGGCAGAGACTGACAGAAGGCTATAGGTTCGACTCAGAGAGAGAGAAGGCAGAGACTGACAGAAGGCTATAGGTTCGACTCAGAGAGAGAGGAGGCAGAGACTGACAGAAGGCTATAGGTTCGACTCAGAGAGAGAGAAGGCAGAGACTGACAGAAGGCTATAGGTTCGACTCAGAGAGAGAGAAGGCAGAGACTGACAGAAGGCTATAGGTTCGACTCAGAGAGAGAGAAGGCAGAGACTGACAGAAGGCTATAGGTTCGACTCAGAGAGAGAGGAGGCAGAGACTGACAGAAGGCTATAGGTTCGACTCAGAGAGAGAGGAGGCAGAGACTGACAGAAGGCTATAGGTTCGACTCAGAGAGAGAGGAGGCAGAGACTGACAGAAGGCTATAGGTTCGACTCAGAGAGAGAGAAGGCAGAGACTGACAGAAGGCTATAGGTTCGACTCAGAGAGAGAGAAGGCAGAGACTGACAGAAGGCTATAGGTTCGACTCAGAGAGAGAGAAGGCAGAGACTGACAGAAGGCTATAGGTTCGACTCAGAGAGAGAGAAGGCAGAGACTGACAGAAGGCTATAGGTTCGACTCAGAGAGAGAGAAGGCAGAGACTGACAGAAGGCTATAGGTTCGACTCAGAGAGAGAGAAGGCAGAGACTGACAGAAGGCTATAGGTTCGACTCAGAGAGAGAGAAGGCAGAGACTGACAGAAGGCTATAGGTTCGACTCAGAGAGAGAGAAGGCAGAGACTGACAGAAGGCTATAGGTTCGACTCAGAGAGAGAGGAGGCAGAGACTGACAGAAGGCTATAGGTTCGACTCAGAGAGAGAGAAGGCAGAGACTGACAGAAGGCTATAGGTTCGACTCAGAGAGAGAGAGAGGCAGAGACTGACAGAAGGCTATAGGTTCGACTCAGAGAGAGAGGAGGCAGAGACTGACAGAAGGCTATAGGTTCGACTCAGAGAGAGAGGAGGCAGAGACTGACAGAAGGCTATAGGTTCGACTCAGAAGAGAGAGCAGAGACGACAGAAGCTATAGTTCGACTCAGAGAGAGAGAGGCAGAGACTGACAGAAGGCTATAGGTTCGACTCAGAGAGAGAGAAGGCAGAGACTGACAGAAGGCTATAGGTTCGACTCAGAGAGAGAGAGGGCAGAGACTGACAGAAGGCTATAGGTTCGACTCAGAGAGAGAGAAGGCAGAGACTGACAGAAGGCTATAGGTTCGACTCAGAGAGAGAGGAGGCAGAGACTGACAGAAGGCTATAGGTTCGACTCAGAGAGAGAGAGGCAGAGACTGACAGAAGGCTATAGGTTCGACTCAGAGAGAGAGGAGGCAGAGACTGACAGAAGGCTATAGGTTCGACTCAGAGAGAGAGAAGGCAGAGACTGACAGAAGGCTATAGGTTCGACTCAGAGAGAGAGAAGGCAGAGACTGACAGAAGGCTATAGGTTCGACTCAGAGAGAGAGAAGGCAGAGACTGACAGAAGGCTATAGGTTCGACTCAGAGAGAGAGAAGGCAGAGACTGACAGAAGGCTATAGGTTCGACTCAGAGAGAGAGAAGGCAGAGACTGACAGAAGGCTATAGGTTCGACTCAGAGAGAGAGAAGGCAGAGACTGACAGAAGGCTATAGGTTCGACTCAGAGAGAGAGAAGGCAGAGACTGACAGAAGGCTATAGGTTCGACTCAGAGAGAGAGGAGGCAGAGACTGACAGAAGGCTATAGGTTCGACTCAGAGAGAGAGAAGGCAGAGACTGACAGAAGGCTATAGGTTCGACTCAGAGAGAGAGAGGCAGAGACTGACAGAAGGCTATAGGTTCGACTCAGAGAGAGAGGAGGCAGAGACTGACAGAAGGCTATAGGTTCGACTCAGAGAGAGAGAAGGCAGAGACTGACAGAAGGCTATAGGTTCGACTCAGAGAGAGAGAAGGCAGAGACTGACAGAAGGCTATAGGTTCGACTCAGAGAGAGAGAAGGCAGAGACTGACAGAAGGCTATAGGTTCGACTCAGAGAGAGAGAAGGCAGAGACTGACAGAAGGCTATAGGTTCGACTCAGAGAGAGAGAAGGCAGAGACTGACAGAAGGCTATAGGTTCGACTCAGAGAGAGAGAAGGCAGAGACTGACAGAAGGCTATAGGTTCGACTCAGAGAGAGAGAAGGCAGAGACTGACAGAAGGCTATAGGTTCGACTCAGAGAGAGAGAAGGCAGAGACTGACAGAAGGCTATAGGTTCGACTCAGAGAGAGAGAAGGCAGAGACTGACAGAAGGCTATAGGTTCGACTCAGAGAGAGAGAAGGCAGAGACTGACAGAAGGCTATAGGTTCGACTCAGAGAGAGAGAAGGCAGAGACTGACAGAAGGCTATAGGTTCGACTCAGAGAGAGAGAAGGCAGAGACTGACAGAAGGCTATAGGTTCGACTCAGAGAGAGAAGGCAGAGACTGACAGAAGGCTATAGGTTCGACTCAGAGAGAGAAGGCAGAGACTGACAGAAGGCTATAGGTTCGACTCAGAGAGAGAGAAGGCAGAGACTGACAGAAGGCTATAGGTTCGACTCAGAGAGAGAAGGCAGAGACTGACAGAAGGCTATAGGTTCGACTCAGAGAGAGAGAAGGCAGAGACTGACAGAGGCTATAGGTTCGACTCAGAGAGAGAGAGGCAGAGACTGACAGAAGGCTATAGGTTCGACTCAGAGAGAGAAGGCAGAGACTGACAGAAGGCTATAGGTTCGACTCAGAGAGAGAGAAGGCAGAGACTGACAGAAGGCTATAGGTTCGACTCAGAGAGAGAGAAGGCAGAGACTGACAGAAGGCTATAGGTTCGACTCAGAGAGAGAAGGCAGAGACTGACAGAAGGCTATAGGTTCGACTCAGAGAGAGAGGAGGCAGAGACTGACAGAAGGCTATAGGTTCGACTCAGAGAGAGAGAAGGCAGAGACTGACAGAAGGCTATAGGTTCGACTCAGAGAGAGAGGAGACAGAGAATGACAGAAGGCTATAGGTTCGACTCAGAAACAGAGAGAAGGCAGAGACTGACAGAAGGCTATAGGTTCGACTCAGAGAGAGAGGAGGCAGAGACTGACAGAAGGCTATAGGTTCGACTCAGAGAGAGAGAAGGCAGAGACTGACAGAAGGCTATAGGTTCGACTCAGAGAGAGAGGAGGCAGAGACTGACAGAAGGCTATAGGTTCGACTCAGAGAGAGAGAAGGCAGAGACTGACAGAAGGCTATAGGTTTGACTCAGAGAGAGAAGGCAGAGACTGACACACAGTAAAATGACCGGAGTCGAAATGTCAGAGTAAAAAATTATATACTCTATCAGAGTGACAGATGCTCCGACTGGAGTGAAATTAACTCTACCTTCCTAGTTAAAAAACAGAGTAAAAATAAAAAAGAGTCAATTCATACACACCCTATTTCAGACTGCACCATCGTATATTACAGAATTTGCTATCTTAAAACGTTTAATTTTTTCTCTGTGCCTATACCTGCTTTAACCCAGACTGAGGCATAAACTTGACATGTTGAGGCTAATCAACTCTTTTTAGACAAAAAAGCAGGCAGTCTTTTGGCTCCTGCTTTACATTCACACACCCCTCCCATTACGGTTTGGTTCATTCTCACCTCATGCGCGGGAAGCCCCAACAGTGAGAACCATCAGATGAAAGCGGGAAAGTAGACTGGAACCCACCATTTTGAGGAGAACGCGTCAAGGTGAGTGTGTCTGATTTAGTTGAGAATATCATAATTTGTCTTACATTGTCTTAGCTGGTTGATATAACCTCAGTCTGAATTTGACTTAACTGACTACAGGTCCACCGGTGATAGCTTTAACGTTAGCCTGTTTGTGTTTTTAGCCTAATCTAGGCCAAGTCATTCCAAACAGAATATGTGTGGTAATGTAGTAGATTTGTTAAAATTCCCTCATTATATCAAAATGTGTCACCAGCACCACATGTAACTGCCTGCTAGCATGTTAGCAAGGTCTAGGCTACGCCGTTTTAAACGTGAGCGGACGTTAGTAACGGGAGGTGAGGAAATGCCTTATTTTACTGATAATGAAGTCTCAGTTTGGCTCATGTGATATTCGTTACACTCGCTTAATCTGGCTAACCACGGCTATACCGCACATATGCAGTCCCACAGCTATCCCGCGCTAACATTGCTATCCTGCGCTAACACAGCTAGCCCGCGCTAACATGGCTATCCTGGGCTAACATGGCTATCCTGCGCTAACACGGCTAGCCCGCGCTAACACGGCTAGCCCGCGCTAACACGGCTAGCCCGCGCTAACACGGCTAGCCCGCGCTAACACGGCTAGTCCGCGCTAACACTGCTAGACCGTGCTAACACGGCTAGCCCGCGCTAACACGGCTAGCCCGCGCTAACACGGCTAGCCCGCGCTAACACGGCTAGCCCGCGCTAACACTGCTAGACCGTGCTAATACAGCCAACCCGCCCTAATACGGCCATCCCGCGCTAACACAGCTAGCCAGCCCTAACACAACACCACCACACCTAGGTCAGGCAAACACAGCTAACCCACGCAAACACAACCCGCCACACCTAGGTCAGGCAAACACAGCTAACCCACGCAAACACAACCCGCCACAGCTAGGTCAGGCAAACACAGCTAACCCACGCAAACACAACACCACCACATCTAGGTCAGGCAAACACAGCTAACCCACGCAAACACAACCCGCCACAGCTAGCCCGCGCTGCATGTGTTTGTGCTGTAAGAAAGGTGTATACTTTATTTAATCATTTATTCTGAGCGCACAAGTTTGCTTTATTTTTATTGCAATATTTTTATCCCAAAAATTCTCAGGGGGAGGAATTCCTCTGACCTCACATTTGATTTATTTGTCACTCTTTCATGCCTCTGTTAGAGGCCTAATAAAATCAGCGAATTTGAGTGTCTCAAGTGTAAATTCAAGGATGTTTGTTTTTTCACAGGAAAAATGCTGGTCAAAGTGAAACATAAGGGGGAGCAGAGATTTGTCAAAATATATGAAGTCAAGCTTGTGGATCTATTTGATGAAGGTAAATTTGTTACTCTCCATGAGATCATTATGCATGGTTATGAAAACAAGAGGGGGTGCAACAGATATTGCAGTTGCTTTTGCTTTCCATCTCGGGAAGTTGTTTGTTTATTGTAAGCCTCTTTTTCACATGAACAGCAATTGTCCAGTAATCCAAAATATACTTGTTTTTTACAGCTTTCAAGAAGTTTGGAATTCCTCTCAACCGCTTATCTGATGCCAAACTTTTTGATGAAACAAAAACTAAAATAGATGAAGATGTTTTTGAAGAGGTGATGCTGTCAAACATTGGCCATGTTTATGAACTGTCATTGGACAGCACACCGGAAGGTAGGTCCCAATGAAGAGTACATCAGTAAAGGCCTGTGTACACTCATGCGGCGCTGGTTGCGGTTACGTTGGACCAACGCAGCCACAGTTGGTGGTACACTTGCGTGGTCTCCTTGCAGAGTTTTGAAAAGAATGTTGTAATCCCACAACCAACCACATGATAACGCATGTCACCACTGTAAGCTCTGCGCGACTATACACCAGGCTTAATAGGGGAGGGAATCTTGGGGCACCTCATGATTCAATTACGATTCAGAGGCTGCGATTCGATTTTAAAACTATTATTGATGCATTTTTAATATATGTACATTGATGTACTTTTTCCACATTTCCAGAGTTAAAGTAATTAAAATCTATTTTATAACTGTTATGAAAATATCTATTGGAATGGAAATGCATGAACATTTGAATTTTAGTGTACAGCTCAGGGTGCTTTTTGCTGCTTTTAGTGTTGCATATGTTAGTTACAAAGAAGTTAGGTGTGTGTAAGGACATTTTTTAATTGGAAATTTCCCCCACCTCTAATCAGTGTAGATCAGTGATCAAACTCCATAGGTACAGGTTGCACTGCCAGCCCAAGATAAATTTGCCATTGATGGGACTATGAATTAATCTGATTCTAATTCCTAATGCAGAACTTGATGCTGAGGTGATGCAGACGAGCCGAGAAAGTTCCATCCTGGATATTGATGATTGTGATGCTGTGATTTTGAACATTGAAAGCCCTCTGCAGACACAGTCAAGTTCCAGAAATAAAGATTCTGTAAGTATTTCTTTCAAAGATAATGTCCTTGTAGCTAAACTTCAACTTTTTCTGCCCTGACAAACTGATTGCACGAGCCAATCAAGTTATGGTTAGTAATTTGTATAGTGAGAGACAGAAGGTCACTGGAAAAACTGCTCTCCATCATGGACGATTCAACACATCCACTCCATCGGACTATAGAGGAGCAAATGAGCTCCTTCTCAAACATTCTTACAGCTGCCACAGTGAGCGGTACAAGAGCACAGGCCACTCCATCCTGCTGTAGTCACCGCTCTGTGACAGATACATCTGCTTTGTCCTTGTATATTTTATATTAACAGATGTGTACTGTCCTATTTCCCTATTTTATACTGTAAATGTGTACATATTCACTGATATGTATATTCCTAAGTACCAGATTATTCTATTCTCACAATATTATCTCATTATTATTCTTATTTTTCGATTGTTGCGTTCTTTTTTATTTTATATTGTGAAATAGTATGCAAGCTACTGTGACAATACAATTTCCCTTGTAGATCAATAGAGTCTAAGTCTAAACTACAAATACGGACACCCACTGTCATGAGTTGACGGAACTCAAGAATACATGCATTGACTCGTGTTTATGTTCTTTTGAAGGTCATAGAGGACATTCTGAAAAAGAGGCCAGGAGGAGACCAGATCATAAAGGAATATCGAAGGACAAATAAACTAACAGATGCTTCTCGAAGGAAAATGGTCAATATGGTTATTGCCAACATGACTGAAATCCATGGGTAATAATTTATTTACACCTCTCCTCCGCACGCACACACCTCTCCTCCTCCGCACGCACACACCTCTCCTCCGCACGCACACACACTCTCTCCTCCTCGCGCGCACACACCTCTCCTCCTCCGCGCGAACACACCTCTCCTCCTCCGCGCGAACACACCTCTCCTCCTCCGCGCGAACACACCTCTCCTCCTCCGCACGCACACACCTCTCCTCCTCCGCGCGCACACACCTCTCCTCCTCCGCGCACACACCTCTCCTCCTCCGCCGCACACACCTCTCCTCCTCCGCGCACACACACTCTCCTCCTCCGCGCGCACACCCCTCCAACTCTCTCCTCCGCCGCGCCAACACACCTCTCCTCCCCGCGCGCGCGCAACACACCTCTCCTCCTCCGCGCGACACACCTCCTCCCTCCCGCGACACACCTCTCCTCCTCCGCGCGCACACACCTCTCCTCCTCCGCGCGAACACACCTCTCCTCCTCCGCGCGACACACCTCTCCTCCGCACGCACACACCTCTCCTCCTCCGCACGCGCCACACACACCTCCTCCTCCGCACGCACACACCTCTCCTCCGCACGCACACACCTCTCCTCCTCGCACGCACACACCTCTCCTCCTCCGCGCGAACACACCTCTCCTCCTCCGCGCGAACACACCTCTCCTCCTCCGCGCGCACACACACCTCTCCTCCTCCGCAGCACACACCTCTCCTCCTCCGCACGCACACACCTCTCTCCTCCTCCCCCGCACGCACACACCTCTCCTCCTCCGCACGCACACACCTCTCCTCCCCGCACGCACCACACACCTCTCCTCCTCCGCACGAACACACCTCTCCTCCTCCCCGCGCGAACACACCTCTCCTCCTCCGCGCGAACACACCTCTCCTCCTCCGCGCGAACACACCCCCCCCTCTCCTCCTCCGCCGCACACACCTCTCCTCCTCCGCACACACCTCTCCTCCTCCGCGCGCGAACACACCTCTCCTCCTCCGCGCGAACACACCTCTCCTCCTCCGCGCGCACACACCTCTCCCTCCTCCGCGCGAACACACCTCTCCTCCTCCGCGCGAACACACCTCTCCTCCTCCGCGCGAACACACCTCTCCTCCTCCGCCGACACACCTCTCCTCCTCCGCGCGAACACACCTCTCCTCCTCCGCGCGCCGAACACACCTCTCCTCCTCCGCGCGACACACCTCTCCTCCTCCGCGCGCACACACCTCTCCTCCTCCGCGCGACACACCTCTCCTCCTCCGCGCGAACACACCTCTCCTCCTCCTCCGCGCGAACACACCTCTCCTCCTCCGCGCGAACACACCTCTCCTCCTCCGCGCGAACACACCTCTCCTCCTCCGCGCGAACACACCTCTCCTCCTCCGCGCGCACACACCTCTCCTCCTCCGCGCGAACACACCTCTCCTCCTCCGCGCGAACACACACCTCTCCTCCCGCGCGCACACACCTCTCCTCCTCCGCGCCACACCTCTCCTCCTCCGCGCGCACACACCTCTCCTCCTCCGCGCGAACACACCTCTCCTCCGCGCGAACACACCTCTCCTCCTCCGCGCGAACACACCTCTCCTCCTCCGCGCGAACACACCTCTCCTCCTCCGCACGCACACACCTCTCCTCCTCCGCACGCACACACCTCTCCTCCTCCGCCGCACGCACACACCTCTCCTCCTCCCCGCGCCACACACCTCTCCTCCTCCCCGCGCGAACACACCTCTCCTCCTCCGCGCGAACACACCTCTCCTCCTCCGCGCGAACACACCACACCCTCTCCTCCTCCGCACGCACACACCTCTCTCCTCCCCGCGCACACACCTCTCCCTCCGCGACACACCTCTCCTCCTCCGCGCGCACACACCTCTCCTCCTCCGCGCGCACACACTCTCTCCTCCTCCGCACGAACACACTCTCCTCCTCCGCGCACACACTCTCCTCCTCGCCGACACACCTCTCTCCTCGCCGACACACCCTCTCCTCCGCCGCAACACACCTCTCCTCCTCCGCGCGAACACACCTCTCCTCCTCCGCGCGAACACACCTCTCCTCCTCCGCCGAACACACCTCTCCTCCTCGCGCGAACACACCTCTCCTCCCCGCGCGACACACCTCTCCTCCTCCGCGCGAACACACCTCTCCCGACTCCTCCGCGCGAACACACCCTCCTCCTCCGCCCCGCGCGACACACCCTCTCCCTCCGCGCGCACACACCTCTCCTCCTCCGCCGACACACCTCCTCTCTCCTCCGCACGCACACACCTCTCCTCCTCCGCGCGAACACACACACTCTCCTCCGCGCGAACACACACCTCTCTCCTCCTCCGCGCGAACACACCTCTCCTCCTCCGCGCGAACACACCTCTCCTCCTCCGCGCGAACACACCCCTCTCCTCCTCCGCGCGAACACACCTCTCCTCCTCCGCGCGAACACACCTCTCCTCCTCCGCGCGAACACACCTCTCCTCCTCCGCGCGAACACACCTCTCCTCCTCCGCGCGCACACACCTCTCCTCCTCCGCCGACACACCTCCTCCTCCTCCGCGCGAACACACCTCTCCTCCGCGCGCGCGAACGCGAACACACCTCTCCTCCTCCGCGCGAACACACCTCTCCTCCTCCGCGCGAACACACCACCTCTGCACTCGCGCGAACACACCTCTCCTCCTCGCGCGAACACACCTCTCCTCCGCGCGAACACACACACTCTCCTCCTCCGCGCGCACACACCTCTCCTCCTCCGCGCGAACACACCTCTCTCTCCCCACACACTCTCCTCCTCCGCGCGAACACACCTCTCCTCCGCGCGAACACACTCTCCTCCCTCCGCGCGAACACACCTCTCCTCCGCCGCGCGAACACACACTCTCCCCCACCCGCGCGACACCTCCTCCGCGCGAACACACCTCTCCTCCGCGCGAACACACCTCTCCTCCGCGCGAACACACCTCTCCTCCTCGCGCGAACACACCTCTCCTCCTCCGCGCGAACACACCTCTCCTCCTCCGCGCGCACACTCTCCTCCTCGCGCAACACCTCCTCCTCCGCGCGAACACACCTCTCCTCCGCGCGAACACACCACCTCTCTCCGCGCGAACACACCTCTTCCGCACGAACACACCTCTCCTCCGCACGAACACACCTCTCCTCCGCGCGAACACACCTCTCCTCCTCCGCACGAACACACCTCTCCTCCTCCGCGCGAACACACCTCTCCTCCGCGCGAACACACCTCTCCTCCGCACGCACACACCTCTCCTCCGCGCGAACACACCTCTCCTCCGCACGCACACACCTCTCCTCCGCGCGAACACACCTCTCCTCCGCACGCACACACCTCTCCTCCTCCGCGCGCACACACTTCTCTGCGTTAACACACCTTCTCACACACCTTCTCCTCCTCACACACAGGCTGTATTGCAAGAAAGAAGTCCATGTTAATGGTATGTTTTTATGCTTTTAGCACATCGCCATCAAGAACTGTGAAGGAACGGTATGCAAAGGGAATAGTATCGGTCTTCCCACAATTAAAGGACCCCTTTTCTGAAAAGGGTTATGTGAGTATATTTTTGTACTTAACCCTGAATTCCTACCCAGCCACAAACACCCATTTATCAAACATTAATTTCAATAATGTTTTAGTAAATTCTTTATATTGCTGTATAGGAACATTTCTATGACTCTGACAGTGGAACTGGATACCTTGCCTGGCGCATCAAGACAATTCAAAAGAGAGCCTCAGAGGATCAGCCAACTCTGGCACAGAACAAAAGATGTAAGGGAGGACCAGCCTCTGAACGAGATGTGACAGAGCCAGAGCTTAATGAAGAACAGCTAAAGGAAGCAATATCTCTCATGAGGCATGCAACTGATGAAGAGGTGGTCCGACTCAAAATGAAGCAAACATTTGTTCATCGCCAGAAAATGGTCCATGACTCTCACCAGTCACCTGCTGTGCTGTCAACATTTACTCGTTTTGCTGATGTTAAGGGCCTGGTAAGTCAAATTCTCAATTTACCCTGATTCTGAAGTTTTATGTGTAATGACTAGTTATATAACTTATGCTAGTTATGAATTTCTGCGTTTTATAAAGTTGAAACATTTGTCACCCATCCCCAGATTGAACAAGACTTTGCTCTGCTGTTTGGAGAAGAGACTTCAGCAAAACTTCTTGAACGGTGGCCAACAATGTTCAAGGAAAAGACTATTGAGCAGAGTAAAACCCTGTCACATATCAGCATTGAACTCAAAGAACTCATCCGCACAGCAGAGTCACCTCAGTCAGAAAATGGTGATATAGAGGGTATGTAATATTGTTGTTTAACATTACAAAGTACAAGTGTATATACAGTTTCATATGTTTTTGTCCAATTTAAGAGCTGGACATTTGGCTTCAGTGTTATCTACTAAAACACTGAAGGCAACTTAACTGAATAATGACATGCTTTAGCACTTAGTTACAATCTCATGAGGGACACGCACTGTGCAGGATTAGATGTCTCTGCAGTGTGTTTGTAAATATTTTGATTGGCGCAATTTGAAGAGGATAAGCCAATTAAGTTTGCTCTTTTTTGCTATGTTTTTTCCCTTCAAAAAGATTGGGACAGTGACTTGTCCTCGCTGTTGCTGCTGGTCTATTTGCTCCCCCCTACTTCCCAAGGCCGGAGAAAGCCCGGGAGATTATCAGCTACACATGCAATAGAACACCTTGTGAGGTTTCTAAAGGTTTGTAGTCACTTTCTAAGGAAGTGTTTGATCCAGATATATTTATTATGGGCACATCACAAACTTATTCGATCCATATTCGTATTGAGGTCAACACATGCTGTGCATAGTAAAATAAACTAGGAAAACTGGGGACACAATACTCCACGGGGATAACGTTTACATTTAAATTTTATTTCAAACGGGGTGCACACACACTTCCCATTGAAATTCTGGGTACAAGGGACTAGTAATCATTTAACAATAACATACATAACGGGTGCAACACGTGTCTTTTGTACAACCTCAGTCCCATATGTACAATTGTTTTGTTTACTTTTTTTCTTCTCCCACAGACTGGGAACAGTGTTCAGGGACATTTAGATGCCATTGTCCAGACCTGTCAGCCGTACCTTCTTGCTATTGGAACATCCAGAACCAACCTCCATGGGTTTTTCATCGTCATAGACAAAATTGCCATACCCTGCCGAGCAACAACTTCACTTGGGGCCTTTGATGAGCTATTCAAAGCCCATTTTGTCTTTGGCACAGAGTTCAGTGAGTCCCTCCGAAACATGTACACGTTCATACAGACCACCGTTTTCAATATTGATGTTGGACTCGTCAGAGAAAATCCTCGTGTCATTGAGCTCCGATCAAGATTTCTGCAGTAGCCTTGAAAGACTTTTTGATTGATTGATTGATTTTATTTTCATTGTATGGACATGATTTGTTTTATTTGCAAGTCACGCCATTCTAACACAAATGTGTTGGTAAGACATCTGAAGTTGATGCATGGACTATGCCCTGGAAGGACACTGAGACTAAAATGCGGTGAAGCCGGGTGTGCACACACTTCTGGAACTTTTTCTGGATTTCGTAAAACATATGAAAAGGGTGCATGAGCACAGTGTTCTCAATGTTGACATTTCAGATATTAACCAATGCTATGGAAGTAATGATTTGATAGTAGATGTTAATGTGGAAGCACCTGTTGTGCAACCCGATCTACTTGTTTCACACACCAGTTCAAAAAGTGGAGAGTATGTTTACAATTGTGTGCTTCTGTTGTGGCAGAGCTTCAGTCTGTCGGGGTTGGTCAAGAAAATTTGCATAACCTAGTTTGCTCTTTGGAGGAAGTTGTTAACGGAATACAGGATCAGATAAAGGAAACAGTTTTAAGTGGTTTAAGTGATGTAAAAACAGTTCAGGAAGTTAAAAAAACACTGGGTTATATTTCCAATCCATTTACACAATTAAATTCTGTGGAGAAGCGACGCAAATATTTTTCTAAGAAATGGGGCGTAGTCGCTCCTGTAAAGAAAGCCATTGGTTCCAGGTTTGACAACAGATGGAACAAAAACACTGGCACATTTGATCAAATCCTTGTTACTGATACATTGGCTTACATTCCAGTTTTACTTACACTTCAATCAGTTCTAAAACAGTCTAGTGCCATTGACATGTTTACGTCAGTTCAATCAAGGTCAAATCTATATTCAGATTTAAGAGATGGGACCTATTTTAAGAAAAATCCCCTGTTTTCCAAGGACACTCCATCTCTTCAGTTACAATTGTTTTATGATGATTTTGAGCCATGTAATCCTTTGGGGTCTAAAAAAGGCTCACACAAACTTGGTGCAATTTACTTTACCTTAAGGAACTTCCCACCAAGATACAATTCATGCCTTGCCAATATCCATTTATGTATGCTTTTTCATACTCTGGATATTAAAAAATATGGTTTTGCAACCATTCTTGAGCCTCTGGTAAATGATCTTAAGATTTTGGAAGTAGATGGAATTGATGTACCTGGACTTGGTGGGCGCATTAATGGGAGCATTTTTCAAGTCACAGGTGACAATCTTGGACTACATGGTTTGTTTGGCTATGTGGAGTCCTTTAGTGCCAAATATTGCTGTCGTTTTTGCCTAACGGAGAGAGAAGACTATCAGAAAGTATTTACTGAAGACCACCCAAACATGCGTTTAAGAACTAAAGAGTTGCATTCTGATCATTGTCAGCTCATAAAAGCCTCCCCTGATCTGTCTCATGTATATGGTGTGAAAAGTGAGTGTTTACTCAACTCTCTCTAATACTTCCACATAGTTGATAATTTTGCAGTCGATGTTATGCATGACATTTTGGAAGGCGTCGCACAGTTTGAGGTAAAGCTCACTCTTCAGTATATTGCTGAGCAGTCTATCTCTTTTAAAGAGATAAGTGATAGAATTCAGTCTTTCAATTATGGATATGTAGAACGAAGGAATCAACCATCTGCTCTAAAACTGGAGAATGCAAGCAATGACTTGGGCCTTAATGCCATTCAGGCCTGGTGTCTGCTCCGTAACATTCCTCTAATGTTTGGTGATGTTGTTGAGAGAAATGATGAGCACTGGAATCTATTACTTTTACTGCTCCAGATTGTCAACATAGTCTTTGCCCCATATTTGACCAAAGGCATGACTGTCTACTTGAAGTATCTGATTGTGGAGCACCATCAGCTTTTCAAACGGTTGTTTCCTGGAAAAAATCTGTTACCAAAGCACCACACAATGATTCATTATCCCCGCTGCATACAAAACATAGGTCCATTAATTCATGTATGGTGTATGCGGTATGAGGGTAAGCACAAATATTTTAAACAGCAGAAGAAATGTTTCAAAAACTTGACTTGGAGTTTAGCAAAGAAGCATCAGAACTACATGGCTTATCATTGGCAGAGATTTCCTAAGGAGAGGTTGATTGTTGGCCCAGGTAAAAAGAAATCAGTTTCTTCTTTTCCTGCCAAGGAACAGTTGTCTTGTACTCTAAGCTTGTCCTTTACGAAAACTGTCTGGTCTGTGAAATGGGCCAAATACTACGGAACTGAGTTTCGAACCAACTTGGTGATATGTAGTGCAGTGTTAAATGACATGCCCATTTTTGAAAAAATCAAAGATATTGTGGTGAAGGATGACAATGTCTTCTTAATAGTTACAAAGTTAGAAACAGTTTGTTTTGATGAACATGTGTATGCTTTCATTGTGTCTGTACCGAGAGAAGAGTTGCATAGTGTTATTGATGTCTCTGTTCTTTCCTATCCCAAACCATTTGACTTACAAATGGCACACAACATGGAGGACAACAAAAGGTTTATTGTTCCATACTGTCATCTTCTGTAAAGTTATGGTCAGGGGAAAAAAAGTCTTCCGTGTAAAAATGAGTTTTTATGTTTATGCTGACTATTTTGTAGTTTACAAAAACAAAAGTTGAATGTTTTTACATTGATACAAGTGTGAACAAAATATGTTGCAATAAATATTTTGTAATTTACCCGTCTGTCCTCAAACTTTGTATAAAGGTTAGATAAGAACAAGTAAGTTTGGGAATTAACTCTGAATGGAGGTAAACTAAGCTGACTCTATTAAGATTTCAGATGACTCTGAAAGAGTTGTTTTTCATACAGAGTTCATTTGTATTCACTCATTGTGGAGTTAATGTTTGTGAGGTTATAACTCCATATGGAGTAAATTTAACTCTGAAAAATGTGCTCTTGGAGCAGAGTACAATCTACTCTCTGTAGGGTGGGACCTATACATATCTACGACGGAGTCAAATTGACTCTATAAGAGTCGAAAACAACTCTGTCAATTTTACTGTGTGGTCTCTCTCTGGTCTCTCTCTCTGGTCCCTTTCTCTGGTCTCTCTCTTTGGTCTCTCTCTGGTGTCTCTCTCCTGTCTCTATCTCCGATCTCTCTCTCTGGTCTCGCTCTCCAGTCTCTCTCTCTGGTCTCTCTCTCTGGTCTCTCTCTCTGGTCACTACAGCCACAGTTGTGAAGCAGCTAACTTCACCTCAGAAAATGACAGTTAGGAGGTAATACTTTTGTTCTAAAAGGCAGAAAAGTGCTCAGACAACAGCGTATAGACTTGTCGTAGTGAACAGGATTGAGACAGGAGCGTTCAGACAGAAGTCGTGGGGGGAGGTGTTCATTCCATGTTGGGGTTTGGAGAAATCCGTTCAGAGTACATA